CTCAATAATTCCGCCTTCTTTGAAGCGTCCAGGGGGGGGGGCAACGTGTGCGTCCTCGACAAACTCCTCTCAAACAAAAGGCCGACGGCTCTCTTCGCATGCACAATCGGGGCTGTCAGGGGCGGACAGCTGGTGGCTCTGAAATGGGCGGCCTCCAACGGCTTCCCTCTCGACAGATTCGTTTGCCACATAGCAGCGAGCACGGGCAACCTTCCGATCATAAAATGGGCCGTGGACAGAGGGTGCCCGTGGGATATGGTGCAGTGCCTGGCAGTATCGAGACGTGGCGGACATTTCGAGGTTCACGATTGGATCTCTTGTGTTCAACGCGCTTCTTAGTAAGAAACGTGCAAGCGCTGAAATCCGGGAGGGGGGCGCTCCAAGAACTCTTCGTACTCTGACGGACTACACGGCTGCATCGTTTTGACGCAGAAGCCCTTTTGTTTGCGATGAGTCGGTCGAGGACGCACACGTTGCCGGAGATTGCAGAGGGTGTTTTTCAGCTCTAGGGTGTTGCCAGGGTGTCAACGTTATTAAATACTTTGGCATTTTCACCAACCAAAGGCAGCAGGCAGCTGCGGAAGCGGCGCTCGAAGTCTGCTTCCTACTTTAGCGCACGCTCCACATTTATTTTGAAGACACACTGTATGACAAAAATCTGAAACAATAGGACACAAAGTCCGTCGAGTGGACGCTCACCGCTGATGGTAAATACGAGGTTTCTTCGGCCGCACATCTGTTGCAAATCATGCACGAGGGTTCGCTGTACACGGACACGGGAACACCCCCCTCTGCCACGTGCACAACTCGCTGAAGTATGGGGTAAAAGCCAAAACCTGGACCATCGTCAACGCGGGGAAATGATTGTTTGCAACTCGAGCATTCCCAAAGAATTCGTGGATTTGTCCGTACTTGGGTGAGAAAACCTCCAAGGATTGTATTCAAAAACGCTATCCAGGGGACATGACGGCGTCTTACGCGGAGATGCTTCCGGGACCAGAGCAACTTCATATTGACAGTGCGTGCAACCGGGGCGTCGCTAGTCTTTCGAATGGTCTATTCAACGCAAATGGCAGCGTGTCGTCTCTCAGTCGCCACAATTGTGTGTCGAGATACCGTCCTGTAGGCGATGGAGTGCCCGGCGCGTGGCTCAAGTCGACCAAACCAATCAAAATTGGAGACGAAATTTTCAATTGGTATGGAGACGGAGGTTACATGTTGCAACACAACCATTCGACAAAGCGACGAACCAAGGAACCCGACACGCGACCTTGTTGAGCCCGCTTGACCCATACACTACCGGCCCGCTCATAAGAAAGTTGACTAAAAGAAAGTGCCCCTTGGAAAAAAAGGCCCCCTAAACAACATCTTCCAAAAAACCTCGCGCGAAGAAAGCCTCTTCAAAAAAGGCCGTCACGGCGGAAGAGCTTGCGCGCGCGAGGATGCTTGCTTTCGAAGTGTTACGTCTCGCCTAATAATTCCTCATACATAGCGACATCAAATTCCATGTTCCCTTCGGACATAGCCTTGGCACGCTTACCTCTTCCAATGTCTTGCGCAAAAACGGCAGTATTCTTTCGTCACTACAGAAAGCTCATGACTTCTCGCCAACTATGAGCAGGCCTCACCTATTTGCGAGCACGAGCACGGGGCTGTGAAGATAAAAAACAGTTGGGGTACTCCTTTTCCACCACGCCCCTCTGTGCCCCTTCCCTCTCTGATAGACGCGGCCAACACGGAGGACGGGACGACACCCACCAAGCCAAGGTGAGCAGATACAGGGCAGAACTCGTGGCGGTAGATGGCGAGAAAGAGAGAGAGAGAGAGAGAGAGAGCGAAAGAGCCTCTCGGCTGCGGGCCCCTTCATTGGCTGGTGTTGCTGTGTCGGACCTGGTGTTTGGTTCAACTCAACTTTTGGCCAGCTGCCCAGCTGCTACGACACGCATTTGCGATGGTTCCTTTAGAAGCGTGAGGAATTCACGATGCGCGCACATCGGCGCTAAGGCATGTGCAGTACGAATCCAGCATACGATGTGTAAGGATCAGAGTTGTTGTTGTTGTTTCTCACATTAGCACTTTTCCAGATATCTAGGGCCCGTGGTCACAAGCTAGGCACATCGTACCGAGAAGAAAAATAATACTCCGGAGTACAAAAGATACACATACACACATAGACCTATGCGCCGGGGCCGACGTACCCACTACGGGCTCCCTGTCTCACTCGACGCTGGTCAGTCCAATCGATCTATCCAGCGAGAAAACAGAAATCCATGCAATCAGAGCAGAGCAGAGCAGCAGGCGGCAGTGCCGTAGGCACAGGGGCGGGCAGCCGCAGGCAGACACATACGGCAGACATAAGCACGCATGACACGCAGGGAGGTACGCAGGCGCCGGACGGCGTGAACGGTCTGCCCACCGAGTGGTGGGCAAGGCGGGCGAGTGAATCGAAAGGGTCGCATCTCCGGCAACCAGGGGGGGGGGGGGCG